TATCTATCTATCTATCTATCTATCTATCTATCTATCTATCTATCTATCATCTATCTGTTTTGCTCTATGGCAGTAATTTTAAGATGGCCTTAGGAGATAGGAGTTTACAAGAGGAGCCATACCATTGATGTTTAATGAAGCAAAGAGGCTATTTTAAAGCTTTTATCTCTGCTTGGGGGTGGGGAAAGAGGGGATAAAAGTCCAGACAGACCCTGAAGTTGCCAAGAAAAGGTTTCACAAATAACCTATTTCCTTCTTTTGCTCAGAATGGCCGGAGTTCGTCAAGAACTACGCTCCGTGGTGGGTGACACATACCCTCGACTGGTTGAAATTTGGCAAGAAGGTCTTGGTGGTTCATTTTGAGGACCTGAAGCAAGATCTCTTTGTCCAGCTGAAGAGGATGGTCAGCCTGCTGGGCACCGCCGTCCATGAGGACCGCTTGCTGTGCGTCGAGGGACAGAAGGACGGAAACTTCAAGCGGTCAGGGCTGAGGAAACTCGAGTATGACCCTTACACCCCGGAGATGAAGAAAATGATCAACGGCTACATCAAGACGGTGGACATGGCTCTGAAGCTCAGGAATCTCACTGGTGTCCCCAAAGACTACTATCCCAGATGATGGAGAGGAACTGGTCTCCTTGGGAGGTGCGAATTCCCTTCCTCCTGGCCAGGAACCATTTCCACCCAGTGGGTGGTGTAGGAGGACTCATCCTGCCGGGGCTCGCTTTCAAAGCACCCTTTTGCATGAGCAAAGATGGCAAAATTCATGGTTGAGCGAAGATGTTCTGGCCAACTTGTCTCCAGAAAATGAGGTCCATTGGTGGGAGATGTTTGCTTCTGCTGCTGCTGCTTCTGCTGCTGCTTCCCCCCCACCTCTCCCCCAGGAGTTTTGTGTTCCTTCCCGCCGAAGTAAGACCTCTCTGCTCTTCCTTAGCTGGTTGCCTTCTCGAACCCAGCAATTTGGTTAAAAACACCCCACCGTGCGGTCGCCTTCCTGGTTCTGCTGACCCGAGAAGAATCCTCTGGTTTTTTTTAATCCTGGACATTTAGAACCTGGTTTAATCTCCAAGGCTGGTCAGGGTGGGTCAACTGATCGAGGCTGAGCTTTGTGCTAGCAATATAGTTTCTACATCTTCCTTCTCAAAGCTGCTGGACTCCATCTGAACAATCCTCAGGTTAAATGCTGCCCATTAAACCAACATTTTGTTAATATCTCCATGGCTGCAGCTGTGGGTCTTTTGTGGGGTTCGGCGCCCGTGCTTGGGAGGATGGCACTATTTGGGGTGTGAGTTGGTGGATCTAGTCACAGATACAACTGCACATCTGTCTCCCTCCCTAATCTATATTCATCATCCAGTTGCATCTCTATCTCCTGTTGAAGGTCCAAGGAGCAAAAAGGTAGTTGCCATGTTATGATGATGTTCAAGGGGATGAGAATTTTATCTCATGTCTTAAATAACACAGATTCCATATATGACTCAGCCTATCTATGTCATCTATCATCCCCCTATTTATGTCTGTCTGTCTGTCTGTCTCTATCATCCATCCACCTTCCTTCCTTCCTTCCTTCCTTCCTTCCATCCTTCCCTTCCTTCCTTCCTTCCTTCCTTCCTTCCTTCCTTCCTTCCTTCCTTCCTTTCTTTCTTTCTTTCTTCTTCTTCTTCTTCCTCCTCCTCCTCCTCCTCCTTCCTTCTTCCTTCTTCCTTCCTCCCTCCTCCTTTCTTCTTTCTTCCTTCCTCCTTCCTCCTTCCTCCTTCCTCCTTTCTTCTTTCTTCCTTTCTTCTTCCTTCCTTCCTCCCTCCTCCTTTCTTCTTTCTTCTTTCTTCCTTCCTCCTTCCTCCTTTCTTCTTCCTTCCTTCCTCCCTCCTCCTTTCTTCTTTCTTCTTTCTTCCTTCCTCCTTCCTCCTTTCTTCTTTCTTCTTCCTTCCTTCTTCCTTCCTCCTTTCTTCTTCCTTCCTTCCTCCCTCCTCCTTTCTTCTTTCTTCTTTCTTCCTTCCTCCTTCCTCCTTCCTCCCTCCTCCTTTCTTCTTTCTTCTTCCTTCCTTCCTCCCTCCTCCTTTCTTCTTTCTTCTTCCTTCCTTCCTCCCTCCTCCTTTCTTCTTTCTTCTTTCTTCCTTCCTCCTTTCTTCTTTCTTCTTTTGTTTGCATAAAGGCAAAGATAGACTGGGGGAAAAAATCCAATGGGCTGTTTTTTAATTACCCAATGAGGACCAAGCTATGTTTTGGGCCCACCCAATGCTGAGGAATTGTGCGGGATGAGAAGAAGCTCAGAGAACGCACCAATGGCAGCCTTGTGAGAAAGCGTAACCGTCTGGCCAAAGCCCAGGATAGCCGCACTGCCTGTTGCGACATTTCTCTTCAGCTTCCACTCGTTTGAGGGGGTGCCGCTTTGTCTTTCTGAACGGAGCATTCCTGCTTTGCATTGTGCTGATGCTTCTCCTTTGGCAAAGAATCTGCTTGCAAAGCAGGGCTTGCCTGCCCATCAGCTCCCCAGCGGGATGACGGGGGGGTGCAGGGGGGCCTTGGGGAAGGGGCTCAGCTGAGCTGAAGCCTGACGGCGGCTTCAGTCCATCAGCGGCGGCGGGAGCATCACCGGGGCTCGATGTGGGTTTGCAGGACTGTGGGTGGGGCAAGGAGGGGCTGCAGTGCCCCCTACCAGAAAGGGTTCTGTGTGTCCTCCCCTCCCTCGTTGCTATCCCCTCCCTCCTTTCCTCCACTCTTCCTCCCTTCCCGCCTGCGCTGTCCATGGTGCTGAATGCAAAACGAGAAGCTCGCGTGTTTTCACAGGTGCTCCCACTCCCAAGCCTTCCGCTCAGCCCCCCCACTCCCCCCAGATGTCAACTGCATTATGATCAGATCATTTTGAGGTGGGGGGCTGCTGGTGAGGGGCTGCGGGTCTCTTCTGCCCTCTGGGTGGCCTCTCCTCCCAGGCCAAGGTCTGGGATGTTCTCTCATTGCCCTTTGCTTGCGTTGATGCAGTAACTAATGGAGAAAAAAAAGGGACTTCACAATCAGAACTTCTTAGAAAGTACGAGCAAGGCCAAGAATGTAATTCCAGAAGTTCTGAAGACATCCTGTACGAAGGGTTTGGTCTCCATGTTAGGCACAGAAACAGGAAAATTAGCTGACCGAAGGCTGTTTAGGGGATGAGGAGGAGAGGAGGAAGGAAGAGAGGCCGGAGGGAGGGAGGGAGGGAAGGAAGGAAGGAAGGAAGGAAAGAAGGAAGGAAGGAAGGAAGGAAGGAAGGAAGGAAGGAAGGAAGGAAGGAAAAAATGATACTGTCTCCCCTGTTGCATAGTTTTGAGAGTTCAGACTAAGAAATATCTATAGCAGTGTTTCTCAACCTTGGCAACTTGAAGATGTCCGGACTTCAACTCCCAGAATTCCCCAGCCAGCATTCGCTGGCTGGGGAATTCT